TGTACCACTCCTCGGCGGACTGCAGGTTCTTGGACGCCATGGACTCGTACTGGCTGCGGATCTCCTTGAGGGCGGAGGTGAGGTCCGGCTTGGCCACCTCCATCTCCACGGACACCTGCGCGGCCTGGATCATGTCCGTCAGCTCGGCCACCTCCTCCTCGTGCACCTTCCGCAGGAAGTTGATCTCGTCCAGGAGGGACTCGACTTTCTTCTCCAGGTCCAGGCGCACCATGGTGGCGTCGTCCACGTCCTTCTTGAACGCCTTGAGGGTGGCCTCTGCTTCCTCGCGGGCGCGGAACTCCTCCTCGTACTTCTCCCTGAGTTTCTGCAGGTCGTCGTCGATGCCGTCCCTCTCGATCACCAGCTGGGACTTCTCCCCGTTCAGCTCCTCCAGCTGGGAGCGCAGCTCTCGGATCTCCTGCTGGTAGAGCTCCGCCAGGCGGGACGGCTCCGCCTGCCGCTGGCGCAGCGCCACCAGCTCGGTCTCCAGCACTTTGTTGTGCTGCTCCAAGTTGCGCACCTTCTCGATGAACATGGCGAAGCGGTCGTTGAGACCCTGCATTTGCTCCTTCTCGTTGGTGCGGATGATCTTGTACTCATTGTTGAGGATGCTGCTCTGGGTCAGGTCGAAGGCCTCCAGCGGAGCGGAGAAGGAGCGAGCTGACTTTCTGCCGTAGGAGCCCACGGAGGAGATGGTGGTCCGCGACAGGGAGGAGGAGCGGTAGCCTCCTCCGCGGGAGGACCCGCGCGACGGAGAGGAGGAGAAACGGGGAGAATCCCCGAAGATCCTCCGGTAGGAGGAGAACGTATCGGATCCGTAGCTCATCTTCGCCTGCGTGGACACAGAGCGCGGCAGTGGGCGCGTCTCCTTTATACACGCGGGGTGGAACCCACTCACTAATTAATGCCGGCAGGAAACATCCGGCGTTCATGCGTCACACGGTCCAGGAAAACCTCAGGATGGCGTTTAGAGAGCAGCCACAACCGGCAAAAAGTCGCTCAATCAGAAATTAAAGCGACATTTTGGGCACACGCGCTCCAAACAATGCGTCGCTGCTTTGTCCACGTCCATCTGCAGCTGTTTTTCCATCTGCGTAAAACTGATGCGTGCTGGGATGCACTGCAGTGACAACATGAAATTGGCTTTGAGAGAATACCAAAAATCAGCGCGTCAGAGAAATTCAGTTCAGATTAGAAATTCAAAACAGATGAAAGTAAATTCGTGACATCCGTCGGTCGGGAACGAGTCACAAAGCCACGGCTGAGTCTGGAGACTCGGGAGAAAAAAAAACAAAAAATGTGTAAAAGTCGTGAATTTTTTCCAGAGCGGCTCGTCTGACTTGATCAAACTAAATCGTCTCATTGAGGAGGAAACGAAAGAGACAGCATTTAAAGCACCTAGGGTTTCATTAACCTCGATGAAGGTCAGAGTTCGTGAATCATGAACAAAAAAAAAAAAAAAAAAAATCAAGAAAACGAGCAGAAAAGACATCAGTTGAGGCAAACGCACATTCACGTCGAGATGTTAGGATCAATACAATAAATATAGCATTTGATCACATTCAGCCGGTGTGTTGACAATTTAAAATCATATTACTGCTTTAAAAATAAAAAAAAATCTAACTTACAAAAAAGCTTTTAATGTCCATAAGGAAGGACTTCATAGCCTAACTCCTTTCACTTACCTCATGACCAGTTTTATTATTATTATTATTATTATTTTTTTTTTTTTTTTTTTTTTTTTTTTTCTTTATTTTTTGAAGTGGAGGTACTGAACATGATCAGCACCCGCTTGTGTCACCTAAACAGTAGCAAACAGGCCAATGATCATATTCCAGAGTGACCTAAACCCATCAGCACAACCCACTGAGATTGAGATCATCATTGCCATCACCGCATGGAATTTCCAATGCTGTCACATTCTGTAGGAAACAAAACTGTCGTCATAAAGTCATAAAATGTAATTTCTTTAAATCCATGCCGTCGTTGGTTTGCAGTTTGGGGGACGAGATAAAACAGAGCAAGTCTTTAAACGAGCTTTTGCTGCCATCTGGTGCCTGACAGTGGCACGACGCAACAGAACTGCTCGCGTTAATAAACCAAAAAATGTTAGTTTGTTGAGTAGACGCGGTTTGAAAAACTTGCTGGGCGCACGAACCGCCCAACAGATGGTTGGAGGCAGGTTTTTTATTTCATAAAAAGTCCTCAAAACTTACAAAATGCATCACATGCATTCACATTTGCTTACCGTGTCTCTGTCGTTTTTATGGCTCGTTACTGTTAAGGTTCAGTCAGTCGAGCTCGTTCAGTCCTTTCAAACATAGCTTTTCAACTGATTATAGCAGTGTGTTCAAATTTAAGATACTATAAGAGACTTTGAATCTGGAAGTCTCACATCTATAAAGCGCAAACAAGCAGTGCAGTCTTGTCAGTGATACTTTACCTGTATGGGTTGATCATATCTAAAACAAACCAGTGCATGGCCCTCTGACATCAAGAACATGTGCATCAGAGGCAAGAGCCTGGACAAGTTCAGTTTGCACAATAATATTTCATTTGGAATGTAATGAAGAGTAATTGAGATAAACAGGTTGATCTCTCGTCTACTGCTTTGTTCCTCATCATTCACTTTGTCTTGTTGAATAAAAAGACTGAACTGTGGCTCAGGAGTGGAATGTTCTCTTCTTAGATTCAAGTACATTTAGCTAATTTTATTATTATTATTTTAATCAAACTCAAGGAGTCTGGCGGATTAGAGACAAAGAACAGAATCCAAGTTGCTTCATCTGGGCTAAAGTTAACACTTATCTCTCGAAAAACATTGTAGAGGACTTTATGACAGGCTGTATATAGATGCTTATTTCATTTTCCACCAAGACTTCAACCCTGCCCAGGCTGCCAAAAGCACTAGTGGTTGCTTTAATGCCAGTGGTATCACTGTGTCTGATTGACTGAAAACTCCTCTCAGTATAAACTCCACAGAGGAACATGAGAACAACCAACGCAGAGCTGAAGGTCACTCTTTTATTCCTGTGGTGTAATGCACGTTTCTCAGAAGCGAAATTTTCAGCTTTAAGCCGTAATCAACTAAACAAACAGAGTCGGAAGCTTAAAATACATCTGTGAGCTTAATGAACATGTTTGAGTTTCACCTGAATTTTTTTTAATTTAAGTTAAACGTTTTTGATCACATGCTAATGTTTTGAGCTGTACTTGTTGGAAAGACCCATGAAAATGTATCTTATCTCTCAATGTATCGCTTTGGCTCCGATAAGCGTGAAGCATATAAGAATGAAGAATTTTTCTAGAGTATGACCTGTGTCTGAAACCCCCCCCCAAAAAAAAAATCTAACTAAGCTTGAAATGGGAGTAGCCCAAATATCAAAAACCAGTCCATCTTGCACATATTGATCAGTCAGTTGTTGAAATGGAGCAGTCTGCTTGAGGCAGAATGCTTTTATGTTTAATATGGGGTTACTCTTAGAATGGATGTCACTTAAGGCTGCAGTTTGCTGTGTTCCCGGCACATCTTTTCTAACCAGACTTCCTCCTTCCACCGAATTTTCTGTTAACATCCTGGGATGCAGAACTCTGTGCACCACCAGCTTCTTCAGGAGTAACCTTTGTGTCTCCACCTCCTTGTGAAGTGTGTTGGTGACACAGCTAAACAAACAGCGTCAGAAGCTTAAAACACATCTGTGATTTTAATGAAACTGTTTGAGTTTCAACTGATGACTGTCTTCTGGACAGACTGGACAGACCGTTTAAAGGCTTCAGAAACTTTTACAGGTTGACTAGGGTGTGACACAGCATGTCTTCATTAATCATTCAATCAGTTAAGCTTATTTGCACAGCAGATTTCAGCGACAAGACAAGTTTTGCATCATAAAAACAAAAAGTCAAAGTCATAAAGTTCACCACACAGTGAACCAGTTAACGTTGCATTTTGCTCTGTGCCATCGTTAAACATCAAAATGTAGGTCAGTGTTTCATTTATTGTGGTTTGCAAACCAACTCTAAACAGGTGGGTTTTTAGCCTGGAGAAGTAAAGGAACTCAAGTGTTTGTGGTGCTTAGAAGCTGACTGCTGCTGCTCCATGTTTGGTCCTGGTTCTGGTTCAGAGCAGATCAGAACCAGAAGACATGAGTGATCTGATAGGTATATACACCAGAAGATCTTTGATGTATTTTGGTGTCAGTGATTTATAAAAAAAAACAACAACAACAGTATTTTCAAATCTATTTTATGAGTGACAGTGTTAGGACTTCAGAACTAGGATGATGTGCTCCGTTTCCTTGGTTTTAATGAACTTTTTAAAAGTATTCTAATTTTCCAAGACACCATTTTTTGCTATTTTTTTATTATGATTATCTGTTTCTCGTTAATCACAAAAATAGCAAGAAACAAATTTTAGTATTATATCGCTTTTTGTTTCACTTTGTGAGTTGACTGGCAGGAAATATTTCACTTTTACACAATACTTTTTTAGACGTAATAATAGTGAATAATGGTGGTTTACTATGTCACATTACTTTTTCTGACTTCTACAAATTGGTATACACTAAAAACCCAGAATGAAATGTGTTCCATAGTCTTACTGATTTATTTATTTATTTGATAAATAAATAAAGAAAACGTTTGTGATCTGTGCCCTTCTTGCTGAAAGCCTCTTGTGACGCAGTCACGTGTCTCCGCCACGGCGGCCGGACGGGTCCGCCTCTTTGTGACACGCAGAAACAAGCGCCTCCCTCCGGCCGTCTCATAACAACAGCTGGCATCTCCCAGAGACCGCTGAGAGCTATCCGAGCTCGGACGCTGATATCTGCCCGGCTTTCCGCTGAGTCTCCGCCGCCGCCGCGCCTCCCAGCCCCCCGCTGTCAAGAGTCGAGCCGCTCCGAGAGAAATAAAACACCCGCTTTCTCCGACTTTGACGCGGCTCACAGCGCATGCTCAGACCAACGGACGGCCCATTGGTTTTATCCAGGAACTCGGAGGTGAGTGCTTGAAACGCGTCGGTTGTAAGGAGAAATCTGCTTAAGCTCTCTTCTTTGTGTTTCGTCAAGGGGCGATAGCGTGGCGCAGTTATGTGAAGCCCTGCTTCCTGTTGCCCTTTCAGTCTTTGTCAGTCAGGAAGAAGGAGAAAAACAAAAACAGCCGACGGTTGTTAGCCAATGTAATGAGATGCTTGGAGTCGCGGCGGACAAGGTGTTCTTTGCGGCTGTAGTTTTGAGCAGACAGTTTTCGACCGAAGCGCGTCCAGAACCGGAGACCTAAACAACTCGACCAGAGAGTGGGGGAAGAGTCCCCGAGAGGAGCTGACTTATCTGTCAAAGTCCATCAAATCAGGCCGTCACACAGACACTAGCTAAACAGCACGAGCATAAAAAAAGTCTCGCTGTGTTGTGTCGGACTATGGCGCGAGCTTTGCAGTGAGTTTTAATCAACAGGGGTCTTTGACAGGTCTTAAAAGTCGCTTCGAGTCCTGCTTCCATTTAACGTAAAAAAAGAAAAAGTAGAAGAAGGAGCAGCAGCTGCCTCTGCTCCTCCTTTCCTGCAGTACTCAGCTGAGGAAGAAACCGTGTCTGCAAGGGAAGCACAAACACAGCACTGGTAATTACAGCTAACAAAGTCAGCAAATTCACCAGACAGGTTTTTTTTTTAATCTATTCAGCCTCAACAATTTTCTAAAATCAATATTTAGTTTGGAATGTAATGACGGAGGATGTTTGAGATGAACAGGTTTATCTCCTGCCCTGTTCCTCATTCCCCACTCTTTCGCCATGCAGTCAGACGAGCTGCTGGAGTTTTCATTGATGGGAGTGAAGCAGCTTGTATCTCTGCACACTGCCAGTCAGCTGGCTACAACAAGCCTGCTACAGTTTCCCCTTTCTTACATGATGAAAGACAAATAGAGAGTTAGAGAGGTATGCTTTGATGCATACATATGGATAATCTTGAAATCTTATTAGTTTTGTTATATTCAAAACTAAAATCTTTAATAATTTTTTTTGTTGCTATTTTTCAGGTGTTTTAACATTCCTTCAAATAATAAATAAAATTTAGCAGATTCGACTTTAGAGAAAACATCAGTATTGGTCAGGAAAACCATAATCATTAATGTTATTTCATCCAATATTTTTGTTTGTGTCTAAATAGTAATAAATAAATTTTTATTGATTACCTCAGAAGTGATAAGAAGCATTTTATACTGCTCTAACTGCAGTAGCAGTACTTGCTACTTATTTACATTTAGTTAGACATCATACAGAATGTTTCACAGGAAAACATGGACAGAACAATTGCACAGAAAATGCTAAATGAACAATCATAAGTGTGCATGTAGAGACAGATGCAAGTAGTCTGGAAACATTAAATTAATACTTCAGTTTTAAAACAGCAATTGTGAATCAGACATAAATCCAGTTCTTTCAGAACTTTTCCCCACCTGCTTTTTTTTATTTTTCCCCAGACACTGACACATTTAAAAGATGATGACTTCATGGAGTGACAGATTGCAAAACTATGCAGACCTGCCAGCCAATATGGACGGCGTTGCCATGAAAAAGTACAGGAGGGAGCCCTACCACAGGTAAGGAGCTCATCTATGAATGACCTGGAGAACAACCAGGTAGAATGACAAGCATGGTACGAACTGTGGCGCTGTCAGCTTGTGATGGATAAGACTGACTGCACATTTATATTATGTTATCCTGAGATCTAGAATCCTCTGTATCTATTATCATGTTTCACAAAACTATTTTTGGGCAAACAAAAAATAAACTAAGCTATTTTATTGTGTTGTTTGGCAAATAACACTAATCAAGTCTTAATATGTGTGGAGAAGATTGAATCCCTCTTTACTGAGCGGCTGTGTTGACACGTTTTAAACAAGGGATAATCGAAAGTTTGTATTCTATTCTTATGTAAGAATTAACAATATTAATGCTTAAATTATAAGTGAATTATTCTTGCAGCAGGTCAGTAGTAAGGTTCAGAATCAACTTATTAGAAGTAAGACCAACCTTTTCTAATAATTAGATAAACTAAAAAACAAAATGTGAAGAAAAAAAAACACTTTATTAAACAGTTTAAAGACTGAACCTTTTTAGGTTTTTGGTGTCTGTTTAAAGAAAGAACTGGTGGCCTAATTTTGAGTAAGATGTCCAACAGTATTTTTGAATTAAAAAAAAAACAACACATGGGAGAAGAAAAGATCTGGAATTGAATCGGAGGAGAAAAATCTGAGTCCTTTTCAGACCAGAACCTGAACCAGAGCAGAATCATGGGTTTTCTTCTTCTGGCTGAAATGGTTTACTGGCAGAACCTCATTTGGATCACTGCCCAGCTGGATGCTCAGTTCAGAAATGGGGAATCTCACACAACCCAGAATAAACCTGCTGTTTATTCTGGGAAAGGCTCCCCAGACTGGTGGGTCGTGGGGCTGACGGGGTGTTTGAATGTCTTTAGGTTCCTCTCTCTGGATCACACTCAACTTAAAAAAAAAAAAATGTAAAAATGAAAAGTCTCCCCTGCATATATGTGCAGGAAACAATTTTTTATTTTTATTTTTTACCAGAATTCATATGGAAACACTGGACCAAAAAAATACATTGCTGATTGTGCACAAGAACTGTTACGCAACCTAATTGGATCGGGTCGAAAAAGACTGGCTCAGATTGGTTGACCACAACATCTTAATGGATTTTTTGGGCCCTTTTCTTCCTGTCTGTCTGAGCCAGAGCTCAGCTGCGTTCAGGGTTGGCAGGCAGAAGACATCACCAGGCCGTGGTGCGTTCACGAGTCATCAGAAAAATACAATTCTGCTACTTATTCCTCACCACCTTGTTTAGACTTCAGAGAGAAATTAAATAAATTTCTATTGAGATCTTCCTGATGTTATGGTGAATAGGGGTGCGCCAATAAATCTGCCGCAATTTCCTTAATTTTGGGAGGCTGGCGATCGGCCGACACCTGCCTGAGAAATTGATTTTATCTACCGACGCAAACGTCTGAAAATCAACCAAAGTCCTCTTTCGCTTTGCTGTGAGAGCAGACCGGCTTACAGAACCGCTCACCGGATCCGCATGAGCGGAGTTAGCAATAGTCACCTCCACTGACACCAGTGTAGCAACTTTCCAAAGAAAAGAGTTGACGGCAAAATTGTAATCACCACGTCAGGCTTCTTAAAGATCGGTGGTCAGCAAGAGCGCTGCAATCGGTGCACCCCTAACGGTGACACCATTTTAAAGTAGTAGAAGTAACTAAATGTATGTACAAGGTCACATATCAGGAGTTTGTATTTGCGTTCTGCAATTTGACTCTGGATGGTTAGAAAATGAATTTCTGAATGGTTTCTTGTCATTTTTAGAAGCTAATCTTCACAACGTTTGCTCATCGATTGCCCATTTTGAAATGGAACCATGTTTTTTTGTTTCTAGCGCATTCATTAGCATATAGAAAACCACTGCTTCCGTCATGTGGTAGGGGCAGCAAAACTAGAAGTCTGACTTAAAAGGCTGATGGAGGATTGATATAATTCCTGACGCGGAGAAGTAACAAGTCTGTGCTGCTCACTGGATGAAGTGTTTTTAAATGCAACGAGCCCACTCTGTGCTTTCAGAGTTTTTAAGTTGGTTCTGACTCAAGACACTCAAATACATGCTCTCAAGCTAAAAAAAAAAAGTTATATAGAAACATGCTCTTGTGGTCTGAGAACTCATCCACTGTGTAGAGTTTCTGTCAAACAAACTGGGTTATTGCCAGCTTTGATTGCACATTCAGTCACGTATTTCTTAAGGCCGGTTGTTTGACTTTGTGCAGCTTTTCGTGCTACCTGGTAGCAAATGTCGTCAGACTATTGGGCTCCAGGAAATTAATGCATGAATCAAAACTTTGCTGTCGGTCAGCAAATATGTCTTGTTGCAACTGGCAGTGAATTCAAATGAATCTGTCCTTTATTTTGTCCAATCGCTGTTGCCTCTGATAGTCTTCGCTCTGTGTGATGATGGAGGGGAGGGGGCAGGGAACTCGGCTTGTTGTGATGAAACATCCGTTCATGGTTACAGTATTTCACTGTGAGTGGCTGTTTAATGTTTAACTCGGAGGGTTGGGGGACAATGGGCGCTGTTGTTTCTCCCTGCCATCATATCATATCCCGTGCTCAGAGGGTTTATAAAACTGTCACTTATCTGTTGGGTCTGTGTGTCCTGTCGGGGCAAAGGTCGCTCGGTCCACGACCCCGCCCCTCCCATCAGACGCCTGTGCTTGCAAAACAGCCACAGGTGCTGTGCAGGACAGCAATTCCCCGCTCATTAATACGATACATTCGCATCGTATTAAGAAGTTCTTGATCAGTTCAAACATTTATGTAAGTGGGATTGTTTGTCACACGGAGCGAGGCCGGAGATCACATCACAACGGACGGATGACTTTGACCCGCACAGATAAAACTCCCAGAGTCCAATCGCCGTCTGCGTGAGATTAGCGAGGAGTGGAAAGAATCTGGCAGGGCGTCCCGCAGCTGCTTCCATCTACAGCTAAAGTAATTAAGGGCTTCTCTTGGATTCACGGCCCGTCGGAGATGTTTGTACGCCGTTGTCAGCAAGACCAAAGTCGAGGCTGACTACAGTAATCAAGTCGCCCACACCCGTTTTCAATATAGGCGAGCTCAGGAGGAGCATGGATTATCCTTTATGGCCGTTCATTGCCTCCCACCGCCCTCCGGCCAAAGGTTGCATATTAGATGTCATCCGCATAAAAATAGGAAAGATTAAGATTCAAATCCTTGGCTCAAAGTGACTTATAACCACCACAGCTCTCAGAAATGTTAAAAATAAAGTAGGACACTACTCTGATTGTTGATCAGTAAATACTAAAGTAATGAAATAAACAGTAAAGATTTAGCATTGTAATAATCAGGGGATAACATTTGTATACATTGTTACTTAAATGGACGGTGAATGATTTCAACTTTTTCAAGATAAAAGTTGAAATCAGGTTTCAACTTTTATCTTAAACTTAAAATCTAATCAAACATTGTTTTCAGTGTTTTTCCCCCTCTTGTTTATGCTTTGCCTAGAAGCTTTAAGCAGGGTTAAACAGTCTTTGGCAAAATTCTTTATGAAAAAATCTCTGGTTGTGACCTTTTTATTCCATTGGGTGTGATGAACAAGTCGACTGGTTCAGCTCTTTCCAGGTCAAAAGATGGGAACAATCTTAAAATCCCTTTATCTCCTGTTAGATTCAAAACTAATACATCTGACAAAGAGCTTGTGGCGCTTTATTTTTTTCTGTTTTATGTTTGTATTTTTCATAAAAAGAACAAAAAATAGGAACGGTCAGAAATGGAAGGACAGGTCAGGAGTACAAAAATAAAAGCCAGAAACTGGTGTCAGGCAGAAAAGGCCTGATTTTTCTTTTTTTTGTTTTTTTTTTTTTTTTTTTTTTTGTTTGTTTGTCTATGTAATAGCTACAAGTTGATCTTGTGACAGGGTTCTTTATTATTATTACTTCAAAATCCAGATTCTCCGAAATTAAAGTCTTCAAAAAGCAGAAATATCAGAGAATCAAGAATAAATGCTGCATTAACCCTCACATATAAACTAGACTACATCTATTTGAGCTACGTAATTCCCTGGGAAAAATTTTAGCGGATGTCTGTCAAAGTCTTCTGACAGTTTGGAGTGTGAATGATAAATGAGTCCAGAAGATGATTGATCTGAAGCTTACCTGTGTGCGTTCTGAGCCTCACCTGAGGAACGTGAGCAGCTGTCACCCGGGCCGCCGGCTCTCATGATCCTCCCTGACTTGGGATTATTCTGGATGTCTTTGAGGGGCAAACAAACATCATCGCACTGCTCAACAACAACCCCCCGACCCCGACCCCGACTGACAACAACAGAGAATGACGCAGAAGGGCCACAATCAGTTTTGCAACAAGTCAGAAAATTTCTGAATGACAAGAAAGCAAAGAGTGAGGGAGGGCGCCGGGGGGGAGTTTATTGTTCAGGGTGCCAGAGCTTCACCGTGCAGCTGGAGCAGATCAGACCAACGCAGAGGCAAACTGATGTTTATTTCACTCAGAATGCACTGCCAGTCGTGTCTTGGACTTCACTCTAAATGGGAGCTTGTTCACTACGGATCTGCTGCCAGGTATTTCACAACGGATTCTTGGATTTTCAACAGGATTATGTGATTTTTGACTGGGAATCACATAAGCACCGAGTCAGCTTTGAGGTTATAAGACCTCAAAGCAGTTATAGTTGTCTCTATAACTGGATTAAATCTCATTTCTGGCAGATTGAACTTTTGATTTGTTTGGTTTTCTGTAACGGAGATCTGTTGTATATTCAGCTAAATCAGAGTCGTTGAAGAGACAGGGGCTCTGTTGCCCTGACGTTAGCGGCATGGTTACGTAAACATGGCTACGTAAACATTGAGTTTCTACATTTGAAAGATGATTTCCTTATATTTATAAGGAAATACAATTGAAGCTGTCGTCCATTTTTCCTGGATTTCACACGATTAATGATTTTCTTCAGTTTCTGTAGTTTAAAAGTTGATGATGATGTTAAATTTATAGACCAAATGTTGCCAGATGCTCTCTGCTCCGTGTGCCAGAGAGCGTTACAGCCTTCCAAGAACAGCTGTTCTGATATGTTTTTCATACTTTTGCAATATTGTTTTCATGAGCAAAATCAAATCAAAATCACAGTAGTTTCTATAAAGTACGCCTCCACTGTGACTTTGGAAAATTGATGTGAGAAAATGCAGCTTTCTTGTAGAGTTTTTACACTTTCTAACGGTCCAATTGTTAATCATAGCAATGTAACTTACACGTTTCCATCATTTTGTCCATTTATTTCTTCAGAATCTTCGTCAATAGAAGCTTGGCAATGGAGAAAATCAAGTGCTTTGGTTTTGATATGGATTACACTTTAGCAGGTAAGTTGAATATTAATTGACGCGACTTATTTCCGTTCACAAAAGCAGGGATTAAAAAAAAAATCTGATCGACTATGAAGAAACTGCACTTAATATTTGGAAGTAAAAACCTCCTATATATTAAGTTTTTTTATTTTTAGTGTTGTTTAACTTTATATATTTGGATTTATTTTTAAGCCTATCCTTTGAAAATAAATAAAAAGATAGACTCTAGACAGTTTCACTGTGAATACTGGTTGAATTGATGAAGGTCCCCTCAGCTCCAGATCCTGGTGATGTATTAAATTCCAATATGCTGAGGATCAGAACAGGTTAGTTAAAGTAAGTTGAATAACTTATGGGCCAAGTGTTTCTCTTTATGCCCTACCTTGTTGTTCTCTGACTTCACTCCAGTTTTTTTGGACTCCACACGTCTAAAAATAAATGCTCGCCGCCTTTGAAAAGCGGGTCACATTTGTTTGTGGGGCTCAGCAGCGGTGGCTCCCCTGAGGTCGGGATTCACTCGCAGTTCCTGTGAGGCTCTGGAGGCCGCGTTTGGATAGCAGGAGATTTTCCAGATGCTCAGCTGTTGACGTGACTCAGTTTATGGGAGCTTGTTACCAAGTGTTAATGTTTGCTAGAAGTGTGGCTATCATGTATCTTCGGACAGTTTTCATCACTGAAGTGCCTCATCAGTTTCACTGAATAGCTGCTGCCTAACATCGCCACCGGATGACGGCAACAGGCTTTAACTGTTCATGTTTGCAACGCGTGTGAACAATGTTGTTTAAAGAGGCAGAAAGACGTATATGATTTGCACTCCAAACAGTTCTGATGTAACGTCTTCTTTTTTGGCGTTTATTGAATGTAGTGCAGCGAAAAGCATTTGCTCCCTTCCAGTTATTCCTTCTTTGCTTTTCTATCACGCTTAAATGTTTCCGAGCTTCAATCAAATTTTGATATCAGACAAAAATAACCTTAGAAAACAGGAAGGGTTTTCTAAGGCTAACCTGTAATAATTTAATTTATTGCAGGTTGTCCACATCTTTTAAAGTCTAGAATACATTGATCACAGGTCTTTAAGCAATGTTGTGATCTAACTACTAACAGCTTATGAAGTGTAAACTCATTAAAGTTGGATCAGCTGCATAAGGACCAGTGAGACGGTTCTTTACCAAACAGTCCAATGAGAAGCATAATTCAGTGTTATTTAAAGAGGACGCTGGAAAAGTAAATGCTTTTTGAGTCAAATATGGAAAATTACATTAAAATAGAAATGCAGAGTGTATGAACCTGTAGAAATTGGATTAGGATCCTCCTAATTGTCATTTTTCTTATATCTAAACTAAAAAAATATAACTTCTTATTGTAATTTTCTTAATTTAACATTTCAGTTTAAAGATAAATATTCCAAATATTCAATTTGTCTCTGGATTTGGTGACCAGTGTGAATGTGAATATTTGACCTCATTATGTAAAACATTGGACTAATTAGATTTCTATTGGCTGTATAGATTTGCCAGCTTTTATGCAAATGTTTAATATTTAAATTAACCAAAACTAAAAATCCCAGGTTCAACTTTTGAAACCTGTATTTATTTACTAATTATAAAAAAAATAATGTAACATCCAATATGTTTTATATAAACATTATCAGAACTTTTTTTGTATGTCTTACATAAAACTTTTTATTCTTACAAATTTGCTAAACCTCATGAAAAATTCGAACCTCGGCGAACTCTTAAGGGAACAGCCCTCAAACATCGCGTATTTGGTGACATTTTCTAAGCTAAATCAATATTAGACAGGTCAGCCTTGCTTTATCTGTGCGGCTAACGGGAGCACGTTAATAGCAGCAGGCTGGTGCAACAGTTGCACCAGCCTGTTTAGACCCAGATTGCATTGAGATGCTATCAGTTTTGTCCTAGTTTTCCAGCAGACTTTGGGCTTAATGTCGGCCCCCGAGGCGGTGCCGGAGTCTTCGTATTTTTCCACAGTGGGCCTCGCCGTGTCCTGATTCTAAAACCGAGGCTTTCATTTGCACACTGATGGAAACAGATAAATTAAGACCCATATTGTTAGCTCCTTAATATAGACGGTTATGTGACATGGTTCAGTCACTGTGTCCCCGTTTGGGAGGCTTGGATTAGGTTGTGTGTTTGAAGAGCGATGCGGGTTGTTTACCTTCTGGGTGAAGGGTGTGCGTTACATTCGGGCCCGAGCTGACCTGGCCTACAAAACCCAGAGGAGACAACACACTGCTCAACAATGGGAGCAGTGGGACTATAATTATCTGGCAATAATCTGATCAAGGACGTGATCTGACATATTTGTGAAGATGAAGTCATCTCTCTCTGTGGCTCTAGTTCTGTTTGAGTGTCCAAATGACAGCAGAAGAAATGTGAGCTACATCTGGTTAGCACAGACCTCAGGAGAGCAGAAATGCTACACTGTCAAGCACTCAAAAAGAAACAGTTATATAATAACGGGCGACACCCAAATCATGCAACCATGACAATTTTATTTATTAAAGGGGATCCAAAACAATCTGTCTCAAAGTAAGGAAAGTAGTCTTCTCCTGATCCTAGTAACAGGTTGCGATTAATGCCATGAAGTATTTTTACGTCACTGTTGAGGAGTTTTGGTCCTACTTTTCTTTGGAGAGTCACTTAACCAGGACCTTTCTGACCACGCGGAGCAGGCTAAGAAGAACCTCGTATTTCTTCAAAACATTGCAAAAAAAAAAAAAAAAAAGGATTCAGTAATCTGCATTGACTGCATTGCATTGATTATAATGTAAAGGGATTTAAATGCCTTTTGAAGTAATTAGAGGTTGAACCTAGCCTGTCCCTTGTTAAAAAGGGAGTATGTGTTTCATTTGAGTTATGGAGGTGTATAATTATGTTTCAAGTTTACAATAAAAAAACAAAACATAGTTGTGATAGATGGCCAGCCTGATTGGCCTTTCATTCAGCCAGGACTGATTGCACTGATGTGAGGGAACGAGCACACTCAGTGAAACCACTGAACTAAATACAGCGAGTGATGATGGCAAAGGTGACTGAGGGGAAACAGCTCTCAAAATAGATGTTTTTTTTTTTTTCTTTGTTGTTTCCTGTTTTGCTTTGTACCTCAGACTTTCAAGAGGATTACGACAAGTGAGCAAAAAGGAGTGGATTGGGATGTTAGCAGCAACAGCTCTGGGCAGTGAGCCCAAAGCCTCAGTTTACTGTGAGAAAAACAGAGGAGAGGAGGGGGGAGCCGAGCTGCAACACAGTGCATGATTATAATGCAGGAGCAGGCTTGTTCTTACGGAGAGTTTTACTTCACCCAAAAATTAGCTAGTTTTCTTCAGCTCAAATCATTTTTTTAGCTTGCCGCTGTGTGTTTTTTACAGAACACTGCAGATGTTTTCCTGTTTTGTCCGCTGTTTGCTGTCCTCCTACTTTACTGTCCCCTTAAGAATCATCAACCAGTTCAGCTCCCCTGGGTCCTCCCTGCGCCCCACTGGGAGGCCGACAACACAGACGACATTCTTTCTTGCGTATTTATAACTGTACAAATTCCTACTTTTTTCCCCCCAGCCTAAGAAGGCATTTTAATCTTGTGCCAGCCTTTTCTTAGCATCAGCCTATGTTTATATTTCCAGAGTATGGCGTAAATACCGAATCCGGGCGACGACGAGGAAGAGCCTCGTCAGTCTCCGCAGAGCTCTTATGAACTGCAGCTGAAATTTTAAGGCCTTATTATTTTCACACTTGATCAGCTTTCTTTACGGGGCTGTGTGCTGTACGTTCGAGCTGGCAGAAAATGAAGAGTGGCCGTCTGGAGGGGGAGGGTCCGCGAGAGAGTGAAAAACAGAATAACGGCATTAGACTCTGTCTTTTGGGCATAAGTTAAAATTGGAGACATGGTATCAGGACTGAAATTATTAATTGTGATGAGTCACCTATTGACCTCATTGTCAACTGATTTAGTAATTGATTAATTGTATGAGGCACGTTTTCCCATCCAATTATTAATCAGTTAAACGATAAAGCAGAGGTCTCCTGCAAGCTAAACAAGCTACAATTGTTTTGGGAGCTTCTTTAGCCAAGCACAGCCTTAGCCATGCTCAGCATCTTCTTTTTAATTTCAAGCTTATCTTGACAGTATTCTCTCACCACCTACTGGTGTAGCATTGGCACTACAGCAGTCTTAGTTAAATATGTTTTCAGTCCAAACCTCAGTCAGACAAATTTTGTTTTTTAGCCAGAAAGCTAAATAACTTTTGTTAGATTCATCACTTTGATGAGACATTAAAAGACTATTAGTATCAAAGTTTCAGTTCATAGTTACATAACTAAAAAGATGTTGCTGATAGAAAATTAAACACAAACCTGTTTCCGCTTCTGTTCAATAGAACTGCAACTCTATTGAAATGTGTTAAACTAAATATTTGTGTGTTTTGATTTTTAGTCTACAAGTCACCTGAGTACGAGTCATTGGGCTTTGAGCTGACGGTAGAAAGGCTGGTGTCCATTGGTTATCCCCAGGAGCTGCTCAGCTTCGTCTACGATCCTTCATTTCCCACCAGGTCAGACCAAACTGGACACAGCAAGAGCTGTTCTGACACTGATGGCCGACCCATTCATCCACTTTTTCCTTAAATACTGAACGGTTCCTGTGAAAATGTAAAATGAGATGTTAAGTAAGGCATTGTTCAAGTCCCACCACATATTCTTCAAGCTTCATTTTGCAGCAGAACTTTCCAAAACTTGTAATCTTCTTTTGCAATTTAACTTGGTTTAGCTTTAAACTCCTCCACAGACTCTCTGTGTGTGGGTGTCTGATTAAAAGGGGCTGACCAGAAGTGCATTTTTCATATTTTCAGCTGTAGCATTTCTTCCATTCATGTCATTCCCTGCTGCATCACAATTATTCATTACTTGCTGATTTTCTGTCAGAAAAAGTCCCAATAAAGTAAAGTGTGTGGCTTTTGTTCCCCCTTCCTGTTCAGAGGCCTTGTGTTTGATACCATGTATGGAAACCTACTGAAGGTTGATGCTTATGGCAACATCCTGGTTTGTGTCCACGGGTTTAACTTCCTCCGAGGGTAAGCTGGTTTTCTTTCTGCATCTCAGAAACAAATTATATATATATAAGTAAATATATTTTTCTTTTCTCTCTCTGTCTTTCTCTTTGTTTTTTATTCTCCCAGTCCTGATATCCGTGAACGATACCCCAACAAGTTTATCCAGAGGGACGACACAGAGCGCTTTTATATCCTTAACACACTCTTCAACCTGCCAGGTAAGGTTGGTGGAGACTGCTCTGGAAAATTTACACCTAAGCAAAACTCCGACTTAATTTCATTTTATTTTATTCTTTTTAAAGAAACCTACCTTTTTGCTTGTCTTGTGGATTTCTTCTCCAACTGTGACCGATACGCAAGGTAAGAACATCTCTGCCAGGTTACATGTCGTGCAACAACAAGTTTCTGAGTTCTGCATGTTGACACAAAGACATTTGCAAGCCACACGGGGGCAAGAGCAAATGGCCTGAAGCATGGGAGTGTCCCGGTGTCCTAAAGGCTAATGTCAGCTAATTCTTAATAAATGGTTTCCTCATGGGACTTCAGTCAGACCTGTTTATTTTTAATATTTTTAATACCAGATAGTAGGCGCATGGATCTTTGTCAGATTAATAGCAGTCAAAGGAAATCTCACTAACTATCCACATAAAATGAAATAATCTTCCATAATCTTTTTAGCACTTCTGTAAAGGAGGATTTATGGCCTGTAATTGATTTTTAATTTCTTTTGAGAATGTAATCTGGAATGGCTGCATGTCCTTTGTCCTCTGAAACCTGGTTGTTGGTCTTTTAGGGGGAGAATGCTTTCCTGTTTGGCTGGGGACCCTCCAACAAGGGAAGGCTATCCCATTTAAAAGCAAACAAAAAGCAACAAATGTCATGTTTTTAAAGACTCTCTGTAAAGATATGGCCTGTCCGACGGCTGTGCGCGTGTCTCTCTTTCCCCCTCCTCCCTAGCTGTGAAACGGGCTTCAAGGATGGCGACCTCTTCATGTCCTACAAGAGCATGTTCCAGGACGTTCGGGACGCGGTGGACTGGGTTCACTTCAAGGTAAAGTTCATGCAACCATTTATTTATTTATTTAGGTAACATTATTATGGTGTGGAACCTCCCTCACCCCCCAAAAAAAAAGTCCAGCGTGCCAGAACATGCTGAAAATTACATATTCTTTTGTTTTCTTTCAGGGAACGCTGAAGGAGAAAACCGTGGAAAACCTGGAGAAATACGTAGTGAGAGATGTGAGTACTTTGCATGCAGCAGGTGTCCTCTGCTGTGAGAGCCACACACACTGTGTCACATTCTTTGTGAAGATGCTTAAAGCTATTTTCTCTTTTTTTTCTCTCTTCTCTGTTCCCATCAGGGGAAGCTCCCACTTCTCCTGAGCCGGATGAACGAAGTGGCCAAGGTTTTCCTGGCTACCAACAGCGACTACAAATACACAGACGTGAGTGCCAACAGTTTCGACGAAAACAACCGAAATTATTTTTTTCATTGTTCAGTTAGTTGTTATTCAATTTTTGATACGGGCGATTTACATCCAAACACTTTTTCCTCACAGAAAATTATGACTTACCTGTTTGACTTTCCCCACGGCCCAAAGGTAAGATCAGTTTTACTGAAATTGCAGGTAGAAAGTGAAGAACGTGTCACTTTATTGTAGTTTTTTTTTTTTTTTTTTGGTAACTCGTGGTTTGTTTGGGTTTCCACCCTCCACAGCCCGGTACCGCTCACAAGCCCTGGCAGTCCTACTTTGACCTGATCCTGGTGGACGCCAGGAAGCCCGTCTTCTTCGGGGAGGGAACCGTTCTCAGACAGGTCGACACGGTGAGCGGACACGAAGCAGGACGTAGACTCTGTGGCCACGTCAAATCGTCCTCAGCGTTTGGACAACTTATAATTTTTCAAAGCGTAAAAATAAAGTCGAAGCGATAACGGTTAACGCAATTTGCGTCCAACCGCGAAAGAAATCGATGCAGTCGTTAACTTTACAAAAACGGATGTGTTTAGTCTGATGAAGATTTTTACTTGGGCCGTTTTAATCCAGACCACAGGACGTCTAAAGATCGGAACCTACACAGGACCTCTGCAGCACGGCATAGTGTACTCAGGAGGTGAGATGAGCATGCCTTCAATTTCTCAGTGTTACTGCCGATTACTTCTTATTTTTAGCAGTTAAGGGCCGGAGGTGTAATTAAGGAACATGTTATTTCCCTAAGGTTCCTCCGACATTATGTGTGACCTTCTGGGGGCCAAAGGGAAGGACATTTTGTACATCGGGGACCATATCTTCGGAGACATCCTCAAGTCTAAGAAGCGTCAGGGCTGGAGAACGTTCCTGGTGATTCCTGAGCTGGCCCAGGAGCTGCACGTTTGGACCGACAAGAGCTGTAAGAGAGAAACGCTGTTTGAATTTCATCTTTTGGTAGCATGAGAACCTCAAAATAAGACAGAATCAGGCCTGAGTCAAAATTCCTAGACAACCTCAAAGAGCCAGGAGGTGTCGGCTACAATATCTTTATTTGATTTGAGTAATCAAAACTCACTATAAAACCAATAATGCTAAGTAAAAGTTGATTATGTCAAGCTGGAAAGTTTTGCATCATTTTTTAAAATTTAATTCAACCAAGACTGAAGATGACCAAATAATACCAAATTATTTTTTAATATAACTGTATAAAAATAAAAGAGAAACTGTCACACACTGTTAAACTTAGAAACCTTTAATATGAAATGTAATAACCAAAACGTCACAGCCCTGGTGACGTTTTGGTCACCAGGTCTGTGTTTGCACCACATTTACTGGGTTGCAATATTTAAACATAAATAACGTTAGAAACGTATTTTGACAAATAAATTACAAACCAGAGACTTATGTAGAAAAATCTTTACGGGTCAAAGTTTTAAAATACTTTGATAGTTGCTGAAAATCAACTATCAAACCTACACAGGTTTGATAGTTGATTAGATTTTAATAATGTTTTACCATAAATCACATTTGTTGTTTCAAATAATAAACTAGAGTCACTTCATGGCAACAACTTAGCAGGTTAGAGATTAAAACGGTTTATTAGTTGATTCATTTGTTTAGGACTTTCCAGATATTTACATTTTTGTCACTGTGTTTTGCTTAAAATGTTCTAACACTTGATATTGTTTTGTTAAATGTTTTTTTACTCATTAATATTTTTAATCACCATGTTTGGCTCTAATGCTAGTTTAAAAAAAAAAAAAAGGATTTTATTTTTTGTTAAGAACACATTTTTGTTTGCGGGGGATTTTGTCATGTGACGTTACTGGAGACGAATCGAAGGGTTAAATGTGCAGGGCCACATCCTCGTCGCTGACACTTTGCTTTTCCTTTTATGTTTCGCAGCGCTATTTGAGGAACTTCAAAGCCTGGACGTTTTCTTGGCAGAGCTTTACAAGTAAGAGCTGCTCCCCCTTTGGCCCTCTTTTCGTCCACTTCCTGTCCTCCATCACACCCCGCTGTCCTCGCGTCCGGGCCGACCACACTGCCGGCTCTGCTGCACTTTGCTCTCCGCAGCCCGTGTGAAGGCATGCACACCGAGAGAACAACGGGGTCAATAGGGTGAAGTGCGGAGGGGTCGGCCCACGCAGGCCACCTGATAACCACATTTACTGACCGTATTTATAGCTCGCTGTTACACCGCCTCTCTGACTTCCTACATGTCAGCGAACTGATATGCGTTTCCGCCCCGCGCCCCCTAACCTCCTCGCCCTGAACTCATCGTCTTTCTCCTCCTCTTTCCTCAGACATCTGGACAGCAGCAGCAACGAGAGGCCCGACATCAGCACTATTCAGAGAAGAGTCAAGGTACAGCCTGTGTTGCTGTTTTAAATCACTGCGCCACCTTTGTTCCCAAGCTTTTGACACCAGCTGGAGAGTTTCTACGCCGTCCTCCAACCTCCCAACAGCTCCTCACATTGTGTCAGTTTGGCCGATTCGGAATAAAAGCGCTGTTCCTTCTCACCCGTTTCCTCTTTTCAGAAAGTCACGCACGACATGGACATGTGCTACGGCATGATGGGGAGCCTCTTCCGCAGCGGCTCCAGACAGACTCTGTTCGCCTCCCAGGTGATGCGTTACGCCGACCTGTACGCCGCCTCCTTCATCAACCTGCTGTACTACCCCTTCAGCTACCTGTTCAGAGCCGCGCACGTGCTGGTGAGTGTCTGTAAGGTCACACTCCAGGCCAACGCTTCACTTCACCGGATGCAAAACGTTCTTGTGGAGTTTAAGCTCCAATAGAAGCTGAATTTTGTGTTGTCAGGACTTTGTTTTGATCTCTGTGTAGGATTTAAGCACTTAATTTGAGCAAGAAGGTCAATTACCTTGAAACAGACAGATTTGATCAATGTGATGAATATTTTTATCCTGATTATTATTATTGCTATTCTTGATCTGTATAATTGAAATCATGGGTTTATATTTGAAATGTTAGTTATTGAAATTGGGGCATTTTTTTCTTCTTCTTTTGTTAAATTTGTGTTTTTTTTTCTTAGGCCAGTCAGGTGTATAAAGTGGACATGAGAAAATTTTCAAGACATAAAATAAGAAGAATAAGAAAAATAGCATCTCTCGAAGTAATGCAGAACAACTGCGACGTTAGGAATTGATGAATAAATAAGTATAAAAAACAGCTCTGAACAACAAGAGCTGTTGCTCAGGGAAACAGCCCTTGTTAATAATAATAAATGATATTGTTTAATAGAAAACTGAAACCGTCTTCTTTAGCTTATTTGTATTGTTTTCAATCGCAAAATGTTTTTAGACTTTCCCGACGAACCACGAGCGAACCCCGGACTTTAAGCGTCCGTTCGCCATAACTCGCTCATTTCGCCATTAAACATTTGCCCGATGTCCCTCAGATGCCCCACGAGTCGACGGTCGAGCACGCCCACGTGGACATCGACGTGGAGTCGCCGCTGGCCACGCGCAACCGCACCCAGTGCAACGACTGCAAGGACCTGGAGTGCAAACGCAACCACCTGACCCGCTCCTTCAGCGAGATCAAGCCTCCCAACCTGTTCCCCCAGACGCCCCAGGAGATCACTCACTGCCACGACGAGGATGACGACGAGGAGGAGGAGGAGGAGTAATAAAACACCCTGCAGAGTTGAGCCGTGTTCCTGTTCCCCGTCGCCTTACGTTTCCTTACAGAGTCGAATGGTGATCTCCAGACGGGAAAGAGAAACGCCTCCTGTGTGCGTTTGTGTGTACTTGCATTCACTGTCGATGTAAATCGATGCACACGGACACAGAAACACTCACACACACGCGCGCACACACACACACACTCGGGAGATTTCTAAAACTATATATATATTGAAAGAACCATTGGGAGGATCACACACGTCTGTCAGAAGATTAACACGCATGCTCGACTCTCAAAACGGGGGGGGAAAGCCACCCTGAGCAATCATCTCCTGAAACGCTAGTTTTTAACGTATTTTTATAACCAAATAATGTTTATGCTGTAATCCTGCAAATACGATTTTTATACCATACCTCTAACTACGAGACAAGCTAACTGGGAATGCGCGGGAAAATCGTCTTGAGTGTTGAAAACAGACATTTTCCTGCTGTTTGGGAACAACGTTCAGCTTTTTAATCCGTTTAGCTTGTTTTCTAGCCCATGCATGACGGGATGCATCTTCCCCATTGGCCAGTAGGGATCGGTTTTCCTAAACCTCAGGATCTCAGTGTGCATCCGGTTCAGTGGCGAGTTGAGGACTTAGTACTGCAGCCTCTGTAGGAGCCCTGACATACTGTAGCGGTTATGTAACTCGCCACATAACAAACGACTTGTTATAGCTGCGTCACAGCAAGCAGGCTGACCTGCACCGTTTCATTTTAGTTTGGTGTTTTTGGACGATGAAGTTTGAGCATCGTATCACACTATCGGGGATGTTGATGAGAAAAGTGGGACGGACTCGCTGGGAGTGAAGGGATTTTTTTTAATTTTGTTTTAAGCTGCCTAGTTGTGAAGTTCTTCAGTGTATGAAGGTGCTTTTAAGGATGTTTTTATTGTCACATATGCGGAGTCCTCAGCATTAGTTATTGAAGTAAACATGCAGGCGGTGTGTGTTCAGTATTCCTCAGTCTGCCCAGTAACACTGTGGACATAGTTCAAGCTGCTGTAGTTGATTTTAATTATTAACAAAAAGAGACCAGACTCTTAAGAAGTATTATCCCTTACTAGCATTGCTATTTTAACGTGTGTAATCTTTCGTTGGGAAAAATATACTTAAAAAAAAACAACTATGTTTCCGTTATGATTCAAATGCAGTTTTACACAAAGATTTTTGGTTTTGTTCCCTTAAGAGCGACATAGTTGGCTGTGTGACTCTGCAGCGTCAGCAGCTTGAAGCCCAGAAGCTCGTCCAGCTTCAAGCACCAGATCACTGCAGCCGCCCAACTGAACATCAAACTAAATGTTCAGTTTCCCTGGTTTCACAGATTTCATTCAAATCAACATATTTGGCTTCGTCTGACCACCTTATTCCTCCGTCCTGCGACGCGTTTTTAAATTCTGATTCTTCGGCCGCTTTAATCTTGATTTCTCATTGGCTGGCAAATAAGTCTCTGATCGCAGGAGTGTCTCGTCTTCATAATGTGATTATCGGCCGTCGCCACCGTTTCCCCCCCAGAATAAGGTGGAGAAATTTCTCCCAACTGCAAATAAAGAAAAATGGTCATTTCCAACATTTACTTGCGGAGAATGAGGTTGATTTGGACCTTGAATTCTTCCGATTAAACGAGTTCGTCTTGAAATAACACAATGCTGCCGATTAGAGCCGAGGAGTCACTGCTTGGTGGAAAATACCAGATTGTTTTTGTTATTTTACTGTAATAAGTTATTTTACCCCCAGTGGGAAATGTGTTGATTTAAGCAATAAGATGCCGTTTAATGTCCAAACATGGTGATAATATGAAGTTTCTGTATTTTGATCGTTTCAAAACACCTGTGATCCACTGATCTGAACTGAAACTATGACTAAAAAACTATAGATGAGTTTTTTTTTTTTGTGGGATGCTGGGTAACCGTATCACAGCTTCTGGAGATTTTTTTTTATTACATGACATTGCTGACTAGATGCTAAATCTCCACTGACATTTTTCTCCAGGGATTTTGCTCATTTTTACTCCACAGACAAAGAAAAATGAAAAAATCTTCAGCGGTGATCAGATTTGATTCGTTTTGCTCGCAGAGGGAATGTGTTGCTGGGAAAAATAAGCTTTCAGGGTTTTAAACCTGAGGTTTCACTGGGTTAAAAACGGTGTCGGCGTTCATGTGTGTGTTGAAACGGACTGCCTGAACTTCATTTTTCCTTTCCTGATGGGCTACGTTTTCCGGTTTTATTGAAATTGTACAGTCTGATCATTTTGTCCAGGAAAGGAAAGGTACATGCCGTTTGTCTTTTTTTTTCATATTTGGTTTGGTTTGTGTTGGAGGGATGTGAATGTTTTCGGGGGGGTTTTTTAGCCTAAAGTGTCACTACTTTATTTGAGTTTGATAGGAAAGATTACAGCTGTTTGTCTTCTTTTTTTTTTTTTTCTTACAAAGAAATCTTTTGTGTTTTCATGTTTTCATCTTTGCAGAAGTGCGCATGTTGCAGAAGGCAGCTGTAAAGCTAATGAAGAAAGTTGCATAAGCCGCATATTTATACATGCAGTCGGTGTCCATTCTGACTCGACGGTTATTTCCTCTCTGGAAAGGAAACGTTGAAGGTTTTCCCTGTGTGTCAGCGTAGTTTACACTCATGAAACGCAGCAAACCTGTACAGAAAATCTTAAGTCAGAGGAAGTGGGGTTAGCATGAAAAGTACAATTACTATATTAGCTGAGGTTTTTATTTTTCTAAATAAGTATTTTTAAATGGTCTTGGTTTACAGAACTGTAGATAGACCTTTTTTATTTTATTCAAAATAACGTTTGATTTTCTTTTTTTTTTTTTAACCCTACCACTTAAGTGTAACATTCAGACCTTAATAACAGCCTTGTGAAGAGCATTACCCTGTAGGTTTTTTTTCCATCCTTGTTGCTCTGAAACATTAACAGCCTCCTCACGTTTTCTCAGCTGTCCTTTTTGTTTTTATGCTCATCAGATTATGAACAGTGTTTGTTTCCTGAAATGTTCCTTTAGACTGTACAATGAAATCATTACATGGAAATCTAGAATAAAGATAGTTTTTCATAATTTGTGGTTCTGGTTTTGTCGGCCGTTGAGGAAATGTTGCTCTTCATGCTCAGCGGATGCAAGGGGGCTGACTGGACAACAGCGGCCGCTTCTTCAACCATGTGAGGGCGATTCAGACTGCGGGAGTGTCAGCTGTTCTGTTCTGTCTCACAGACACTTTAGTGCAGTGCACCAGCATCCACTGACTCGGCATTTTATTTCTGCTGAGTCAGCAGAACCTGAAGTCCCAAAGAGAGCCACCCAAATGAGATTGACAAACAAATATGGTCAGACCATTTTAGAGCTCTGAAATCGACGCCTTGGCGCCTTCTGATCTCGCACAAATTAGATTTATGACAAAGGGAAAACAGAAACCATCTCTCCCAAGACGCCGCCGGATTTGCACAGCCCAAACCACAAAAGGACAACTCCTGTTTGGTCTGTTAATCATTCGCTTTTTTTATTAAACCACCAGCTGAAAGAGGCAACAGGGAATGTTGTGTTCAGGTAGAAGAATCAGAGCGGGTAAAAACACACCTTCACAGCATTCACACAAAGGATGGAGATGGCAGCTTGAGACAAAGGAGGATGCACATTTTCTATGTTATGGAGTATTAATATGAACCCCGTCACAGCTGATGCCCCAACACTGTTTCCTGTTGTGCGTTCATAAAAAAATTATATATATATATATTTTTAAATGTTGCAGCCAAACATTGTTTTGTCTCAGGGGGAGCGACTGTTCCAGCAGAGCAGCACTTTCAAGTAAACAACAATAATAATAGTTTTAAAAAAACACACACACACACAAAAAAACAGTGAGCACAGCTGCAAACTTATGAAACTGGAGGGGAACCAATGGGTGGACTGTTCTGCCTCATTTCCCAGGCCATCTCACACACACGTTGAAAAACACGAAGAAACAGCGAACACCAGTGGTTACTACCGGGAATTACATCCTAAAGAGATTAATTCAGCCTTAAGAGACATTTTTATGTTGCCATAAAATAAGACAAACACACACACACACACACACACACACAAAACATGTGAATGAACAGGTGTGGAAACTCCTATTTTCATTAACATCTGCACAGTTACTTTACTTTCCAGCACACAGTGCATTGAAACTGTCCTGTGAGGTAAAGTATAAAATAAAATAAAATGGCAAGAGCCTACAAAAACAAATGTTCTCTTAAAGAAGATTTTGGAAAATATGAACAGAACTGCTTGTTAAGCTGCATAGGAGGATGTTTTTTTGTTTTTGTTTTGTCTTAAATGAACATTGCAACTTTTTGTATAATGTAGTTCATCTTGGTTCATTGTTGTCCTGCCTCTCCTCCAAGAGGAAATGCTGCTCTGTCTAAAGCAGACATCTTTCAGCTGACTCAACAAGTAGCCCAGTAGATATTTTCCAATAAAACAAATTCTCTGAACATCCTAGGGATAGGCAAAGACTTTTTAATACTTAAGTATCCGTCCAAAGGTGGATTCCAAACACACGAAACCCGAAATGTTGCTTTTGTCCGAGCTTTCATCCACCTTGCGTGTGTGTTTGTTTCCGCTGTGTTAGCAGATGCTGGTGTCTCTGGTGTCGACTGATGTTGCGGAGTTCATTAGCTTTCAAAAAGCGAATTCAAGGCTGGAAAGGTTTTCATCACGAGGGTTAGCGATAAGAATTACAGCAACATGATCAATAATAGTTGTGCTGTTTGCTTAATGCTGGACAGGAACAAGAGGAGATTCAGTTTTAGTTATTTTGTTGCTTTTCTGTCACACCAGTCAATGTTAAAAGGCTCAAACGTGCAAAATTGTTGATTACAGCACAGCTTCGTCTTTACAAAAAAATCGTTTAGATTTTCTAGGAAAACCTAAACAATCTGAATTATTTTAGAATTATTTTCGACATCTTCAGGAACGGGTTTGTTTTTGTGCAGAAACCTTTTGACTTATCATTTACACAAGTTATACAAGAGGCTGGGACCCAATATTTACAAAAATAATCCTCTAATCAAATTGCCCATCCCTGGAATATCCTTCAAAATATGTTTTAATCATGCAACTTAAACACGATCAGTAAAAATCAGAATGATGTATAAATACGTCTCTTTAATAGCAGCCAGCATTGTTGAAGAACATCTTAAAATCGGATCAAGTCAATAACTATTAAGCTTGGGGTTGTTAATTACAATCAGCAGGGAAGCCAAAACAATGAGACAGCCTGGTGTCCAAATCAGCTAAAAAAAAAAGAATAATAAAAAAAAACAGACATTTATAAGCAAAACAGTGGAGAAGCATTAGCTGTGCATCATTTAAAGTCGAGGTTGCTCTTTCTGACGTGTTAGGACGAGGTCATTAATACTGTGCAATTCTCACGTTCGATTGAACTAAAGGCATAAAAAACACGTTAACCTCACATGCATAGATTCCTTTGTTGGTTGGCACTTTCACTCCCTCCCCCACCCAAACTACGCCGCAGTCACTGGTGAAGGCGCCGCCTGAGCCGGACGAGCTCCAGGTCAAAAACGCGACACAGACAAAGAGGACGAGACGCAGCTGAGCGCGTCTCAAAAAGACAAATACCGGTTTGCACACGGCACAAACATACAAATACATCTGCCGACTTAGAATACACTGAATTATCTTTTATAATCATCTCTTAAATAAATCATTGTTCATTGCACTTTGTTAAAGTAACTAATCATAGAATTTCTCTCCAAGGCAATAGTGTGATTTGTTTTTTTTTGTTTTGTTTTTTCTTTTAAAAGGTGAAAAAGACACTATGAGCCTGATTTAGGATAATAGTAAAAATAATAAGATCTAATAGTGTTTCTGTAAAAGACTCTCACCTCCTCATGTACATGAGCGGGTGTTCATATATGTAGCATGTTCTGGGGAGGCATGCTCTTAGTTTATTTTTCACTTCTCCACGTGTACATATATACAAACAATATTATAAAATAAATAAATACAAGAAAACAAACAAAACATTCTTGGTTCTCGGTTTAGCGGTTTATTTTGGTGCAGTCTGTGACGGGCCGTCGCTCTGTGTGTGAGTCTGATTGGACCAGCAGTCGCCTGAGCCTCCCTGCAGGAAGCGCCGGCGTGGAGGGTTCGCTTCACAGTGACGGGACGGAGGAGGACGGCGGGATGGGGGCGGGACCAAAGTCTTTGGCCTGAGGAGAAAGTCCAGCGAGCTTTGCACCGTGTTGCGAGCGGACCTGCACTCCGTCGCCCTCCAGTCCGTTGAAAAACTCGTTTCGCTGGTCCCGTCAGCGCAGCGGGGGGGAGGGGGGGGGTGTTCCGGTGACCCGTCGGCCCCGCTGCTGCCATCGACCCCTGCAGCGGAAACGTCTCACTGACTGAACCGGGGCTTCGGGTCGGAGCAGAACCCTGATTCCGCCCACTTTCCCTCTTCGCCCGACGCCACTGCTCCATGCGTGTCCAGGGGACAAGGTGGAGGGTCTCCACCGGCCACAGCGGGGGGAGGGGGGGTTGAGGGCTACATGGGTCCCTCGTTGTGGGCGCTGTGGTTGCTCCGGCTCAGGCCCACACAGTTCTGCTGCTGGTTCAGCAGGTGGGACGTCTCGTTGGCCGTGGCGACGGCCACGGCGGGGGAGGTGCTCGTGGTGCTGGCCGTGGTGGTGACGATGGCCGGGATCTCCACGCCGTCGTGGAACTCCGTCAGCGTGAGCTCGATCTTGGTGAGCTCGCTGTCTGTGGACTGGGGGGTCTTGTCCATCCGTGACGCCATCACCGCGTTGTGGTACTGCTGGCGCGTCACCTGGACGACAGAGGAGTCGCTTCTAGTACCAGTAAAGTCAACCAGAAACGTGTTTAGGTTTCAACTCAGTTTGTTAACTTCTGATGCGACTCTTCAATCGTGAGTTGTTATATCTCAATACCGCCGTTTAATAATTATTACACATTTCGCACCAGGTGGGTAGATTGATCAAAAATATTTAGAATATTGATAGAAGTTTTAGGATTTCTCTTTTGTCTTTGGTAAAAGACTATGAAACATTTCTCCCTCTATCATTCGTATTTACCCAGAATGCCCTGCGCTATAGTCCGCTTCCTGCTTTTGGAGCTGTGTCTAGTCCGCCTGGCATTCAAAAGGCGCCAGACGTCACTGTAACCGAATCGAGGCCCGGGTGCAGGCGGACCAGAGTTCACTTTGTTCGGTCTGTATCAGGGTTTGATTATCCATTCACACCTCCCAAAACGATCTGGGCTTTCTAGCAAACGGACTGGAGTCCGATTAAACAGGGTTGGTGTGAACGCACCCTAAAACTCGCAAGACTCCGTCGCCGCAAAGAGCAAAAGTCAGCAGACACCGCGAAATGCAGCTGAAATGTTTTACAGTGCATTCATATAAACTACGCGCGCTTCAGGTCAACTCTGGCCGGATCCTTGCAGCTATTCTCACCTTGATGTACCGCAGGTCCGACCTCGCTCTGACAGAATAATCGGGGACGTACATATGAAGCAAGGAGTTGAGCTGGTTGTTGCTGTTGCCCAGCGTCGGCGTGATGGCCTCGATGCGATCGCTCCTGTTCAGAGAGTCTGAGTGGTTCAGGCCAAACGAGCGCGGAGGAGACTTGTTCTCTGTGAGGACAGAAGAGGACGAGAAGGTCAAAGCGCACAAAGCAAAGATCAAGGGGCATCCATCACAGAGCGCTGCTTCTCAAAGATAAATGAAGCCCTGGAATTAAATTGTCGTCATTATTTTTCAGCTTACTGGTTTCTATCAATGGACTAATTAAGACACTTATTTCACTCACAGAAGGTCAGTTTCATTACAAAGCAGCTGGAATGTTTCTGACATGTGGAAAGAGGGAAACTGTGTCTCTTTGACGTCCTGCACACAGTGTGGACATCAAAACTGTTCACACTTCTTTTAGAATGAACGGCACCTGAAATGCAAAATATGTATCCACCAGTACACTCACAGTAAAGCACAGTGGTGTCTGCATCATGCTGCTGTTCGGATAGAACAGCAGCTTTGTTTTTTTCAAGATGGTTTATATTATTTATAGTCCTTCATATCTGTTATGATCCAAAACGGTCAAGTTTCAGCAAGAAAGTTGAGGATGGAGAGAACTGAAGCAGCAGCAGAACTGAAGTTTTAATAGTTGTTACATAGCAGCACAGCGGTTTGCTGTGATGTGTGGAAATCTCATTTGTCGGTAAACCCTGCGTGTCCGGGGATGCTGCTGCTGATTTTTCACGTGCCACCGCCCAGAAGATTTGCTCTGTTACTGTTTTCATCCCTCTAATTTTTAATTAAAGCCAGATTATGTTTTCCACTCCTTGAAGACGTGGAAATCACACACAACAAAGTGGAAACGGCTTGGCCAGCTCTACTGCTGCTACACGGACTGGAATGTATGTAATCCCAAATCAGGATGTGTGTGTAGGTGTGTGTGTGTGGGCCGAAGACCTGGCATGTGAACTCTAGTGGATTAGTACTCCACTTTCTAGGTACCGGGTCAACACACAAAGAGGCGGTGTGCGTCTGCCTCTGGGCCAATCGCCGCATCGTAACAGGTGGAAAAAGATGCGAAGAGGCTCAGCGTGGCTGTTTTTGCTCCGGCAGAAACCGGAGGGTGTGTTTGTGTGGACATGGGGTCCGCACATGCGGACATACGTATGTGGATGTATGTGCGCTGTCCAGCAGGGGGCTGTAGCTGCAGGTCTTGTTTATACACTGGGAGGGTTAAAGGTCAGGGGCGTGTGGGGGGGCGGAGTCTGGTTCCACTCTGGGGCCTCCGGAGTCCATTAATGGACTCCGGAGTCCATTAATTACTGAATTATTGGTATAAAATCCTGATGTTCTCCATCAATTTAGGAGAGATCCAGTATGTAAAGATGAAACCTGTGAAAACTACAGACTAGGAGAAAGGAAATGAGGTAGAATTCAAGGGAGGGAGGAAGAGAGGAAACATAGGAATCAGTGAAGGAGGAAAAGAAGATACGAAGGCAAAACAAGGAATGTCGTAACATAGGTAACTTTTAGTAACAGAGAAAGAAAAGACAGGAAGGAACGAAGGACAGACAGAAGAATAGAAGGAGAGGAAGGATAGAAGGAAACAGAGCGGAAGGAATAAAACAGAGGAAAGAAGAAAGGAAGACAAAGAGACTGAAAGAGGTAAAGACATTTGGTAGGTAAGTGTTAAAATAGGGAAGAAATGAAGGAAGGAGATATTTAGATTTTTTTTAATGCGGGACCTAATCTGGAAATACAAATATCTTTTTCTGAAATCTTACTTTCTTTTTCCAAACTTATCCAGATCTGTAAATCAATGAAATCAACATCAGATTGTTCCAGATTGAGTGGGAACCCTGTCAGTTCCTGGCTGGAGATGTAGTTAGTGAAACGGGCATTGAAAAGGACAGAAAAAGTCACCATACCTGGAGATCCCGCTAATGATTCTGCCCTACTGACGGTGAACGTACGAGACAGAGACAGCGGCACTTGGGAAGAAGAGGGAAAGGACATCGTGAGGAGAAACGAGCGAAAGAAAGGAAGAAGAAGAAGAAAAAAAAAGAGAGCGTCAATAGCGTAGAAATAATCAGCAGCTTCGAAAATGATTCAATCCGTGAGAGAAGTTTCAATTGGAAAGCAATCAGTTTTCAGATAAAGAGGTCTGAAACATCACTGGGTTTGATTTGATTTCACTTGGAACAAGATGGGATGCATGTTCCACCATTTCACCACTAGGTGGCTCCCTACATCCAACCACAGAGAGAATCCAACATGGCTCTCTGTGAAGTTTATGAATGAACTGGGAGGACCGAGTCAATCACCAGCTGATGTTCTCTGGTGACGTTTGTCCATGACGTCATGCTGCCTCTTTAAAACAGCCTCTTTCTTTTCAATCACTGGGTCTTTGCTTAGAAACAAGAAGCTTTTCAGGTCCTCAAAATACAAAACATTGACAGAAAAGCGCTACAAAAGATATTTGCGAAAGTATAATCTCGAATTTGAGGTCAAACATAAATCATATGCTATAATCTTAGGACGACTTACAGCTAATTAATCTTAATGACAATCAAAAGACATCCATTATGGAGAAAGTGATGGCTGATTTTTGCTGTTTTCGCCCATTTGGTCTCTCTCTCTGACGACAAAGACGTGGCGCTCTTACCAGGCGGCGCTGTCAGAGCCATCATCCCGTAGAAGGAGAACGGTCCTGCTTCAAACTTCATCTCCTCTTTTCCTGCCTCCACGTCCACTTTCCCCTGTAGCCAAAAAAAAAACACAAAGGCTTTTTAGTTAGAGCACTTTTCAAATGACGACTTCAATTTTTTTTTTTTTTGAGGACAGAAAGACACCCAAAAGAAATGATCTCGCTTGTTAAACCATGTATTAACTCGACTTATCCCCATTTATTTGGGAAGTTGAATTTCATTTCACTGGCCACGGAGCCTAAAAGATGTGAGAAGGCAACACATAATCTCCTGATCTAAATGAATTCAAATTTAGATGAGGAGCAGAGCCATTGATATGAATCAGTCAGGAGGGGTGACAATGTCGAGAACCGTTGAAGGAGTGGTGGTCGTCCTCTCTCGCATCAATTAAAGTCATTCGTAATCAAAACTGGATGAAAGGGCCGTCCAGGAGAGTGTTTAAAAACCACACAAAAGCCCATCTCCAATCTGCCAAAACAAATCTTGTTCTGGGAAATATTCAGTTTACCGACGAGGCAAAACTAGAGCCTCATCGTTTTGATGGCGTGCATCCCAGTGCAAAACCAAATCTGAAATCTACATTCTTATTTACTTTGTCTGATCATAAAACGCAGGAACCGAAGAGATCTGTGAAGGTGGCAACTGTACAACTGTATCACGAACTGTGCAGAAAAACATGGTCTGGAAACGACGGGATGGTGAAAATGAACGTGTACCTTCACACCGTCTCTGCCTCAACATCTTAAAACAACTTTCAGGAAGAAAAAGCGCCTTCACAGTAAATTTATTGGGCCGAGAGGTGAACCAGCTTGTCCGATCCGGTCCTGGTCAGAACCAGCCAACGCTGTCGTCATCGTCATGAGGTGTGAGAGATGCTATTAATAGTTTGTACATTTCTGACATGCTATGATCATGTGTTTTAGACGGACATGCAGGTGAATGGAATCACCAGATTTCCACCTGAACTGACCTTGATCAATCAGAAGCCTGTCGGTGACAGCAACACTCTTTGGTGTGGATGCTGTAACTGAGCGTCCACAAAGTCATCGCGTGTGTTATCGTTTCTATTTACAGCTCGTTTTAAACATACAGAAAGTAGGGATTTTGAATAACGTTTATTTTACTTATTGATTATTTTGTCAATTATTCTGCTGATTAATCAGATTTTTAAAAATTGTCATGTGCTGCAGATTGTTTATTTAACTACAAACACCATTTTTACACAATATTAAAAATGCACTGAAAAGTTGCAAATAAATCATTTAATCCCTTTCATAAACAAGAAAATAAGATAGTACTGCCTAAAATGTAACATAGCATTCATGTAGTGGAAGCTTGATCAATTGTAGCAATGGATCTAAAGCTAAATAAAATATTGTCAATTAATCTGTTCGTTATTTTTTTCGATTGATAATTGGATAGCAAAAGGTAATGAATAGGAGATATATATATATATATATATATATATATATATATATATATATATATATATATATATATATATATATATATATATATATATATATATTGGATCCCAGGTCAAAAAACGAGTACGGGTTCGCTGACATGGACGGTTGAAGAAGACCCTCGCAGCCGCGGCCGCCGCAGCCTTGTCCGGGTTCCCGATGACGGAGTCGGAGAGCGCTCCTGCGGAAAGTCCGCTAACTTTGAGCGCGTCGTGCTCCCCAAGATTTGTTCCGAGTGAAGCCAAAAATTCCACTTAAAACATTCTACGAAGAACAGATTTATTTCAATAATCAATTAATCACGACTAATCTAATTAATCGTTTCAATCCTGATAGAAGGACTTTACATTTTAAGGCTGTAAACAGGCTGGTGTGTGAATAATGATGAGGTCAAACATCTTTAACTATTCAAGAGTTGTTTATCTTTGCCGTTGCTGCTGTTGTAATCTAAGCCGTCCTGCATTAAACCATAGCATGTATGCTATTTAAGGCCGCATGGGAATGAACCCTGGCGGTCTGTACAGTGGAAAAACATTATGGCGTAGGAAAACAATAGTTTATGGACCTGACAGCAACGTATTTTATGCAATTTTCCAATGTAGTGCTGTTTGTGCAGCTGTGGTCGAAAAAAAGAAATGAAAATTCATCAATGTAATGTGAAAAGCTTGGGAGAAGCTACATCTTCTGCACTTTCATTGTCTGATTTTAAAGAGCTGAAGCGCCAACATTCACTCTTTTAAATGTAAATGGTATTTCTGGTTAATTCTGGTAATGGTAATCATTCTGGATTAAAATCTTTTTGAACTAAAATCATGCTTTTTTTCCTCCCTCCTTTGTGCCCAACTGCATGCGCACCTGCAGGATCAGGATGAAATAATCCACAGGCTTGTTCCTGTGGAAGAGGTAGTGCTCTGCTGCCCGCTTGTTATTGGCGTCATATTTCAGCTCCTGGATGACGTTGGGGAGTTTCAGCAATCGCAGCAGGATCTTTTCTGACATCTGCGCCGGAAAGAACGGCTCCAGCTCTGAAAAACCAAGTTTTGGACAAAAAGAGACCGTCAGGTGACTGTGAAGCGGTTTCTGAAAAGACCTCACACTTTATGGGTTAAACAGGACAACATTTTTATACAAGACATAACTGGAAAACAAACGAGTATAAGCCGATATTCATTCAAAACTGGAAAACAATGAGTGGATATTTTCTACATTTTCTGAATCACATGAACAGACACCCTCATGCTGGGTCCTGAACATCTGTCTAGAGGAGAACAAGACTTTTGAAGCTCCACAGCAGCAAAGCAAGTGCCTTCTTGAAAAAAGCACAGCTGAATGCCAAGGCCTCTTAAAGGATAAAAGGCATGGCTGCACAGTGGAAGAGGTCCTGGGTTCAAATCCCAGCCTGGGATCTTTCTGAATGTTCTCCCTGTGCATGTATGGGTTCTCTCTGGGTACTCCAGCTTCCTCCCACAGTCCAAACACATGGACTGTGTTAGGTTCACTGGTTTCTGTAAATTGTCCTTGTGTGTGTGTGTGTGTGTGTGTGTGTGTGTGTGTGTGTGTGTGTGTGTGTGTGTGTGTGTGTGTGTGTGTGTGTGTGGTTATTTGTCCTGTTTGTCTCTGTGTTGCCCTGCGATGGACAGAGACAGACTCCCCCCACTTTTTACTTAATTCAGCTAATAATCATTTGACCACCTGGGGGCACTAATGTACTGCGTAAAAAGCCTTAAACTTTAATCCCCGGATGGTCGGCCATCATTAACCGTGGAGACAAAACAAGACAGTGACGTCACTTCAAGTGCATCTTCCTGTGTTCTGAAACAGGAGAACGCTGTTCATTTCACAGAAATAACTACTACTGAGTTGTGTTATTTATTTCAATTTACCTCTGTTTAATGTGAAATTCCAACCCTGATTCCAATTTACCTTTATACAGGTAGAGGGTAGCGAACCCTATTTTAAACCCTTCTGAACCAAATTACATCCCGACTTCTGACCCCAAGTCCAACCCTTCTTCAAACCTAATCTCTGAAAAAGCATCGTTTTACAACGTCCATTTTCATGCTAAACTTGCTTGTAACCTATAAAATAAATAGAATAGAATAGAAGAATAGAATAGAATAGCATTTATTGTCATTGAACAGGATTCAACGAAATTTCTATTGCAACTCCCCTGCAAAAAGTCAAAAAAATGGCTTTCGTTAACAGCACTTGACCCTGTCAAGGATCTTTTAAAAAGTTTTCTTCAGCAAGACAAGACAAAATAAGCAGGCAAACAAATAGGAGAGTAGTCAAGCCTAAGGAGCAAGAGCAGAAGGATACTGTCAGATATTCGTAACAAAGAGAAAAATATGAACGTCCCACAAAATACCAAAGAGATCCAGCACCCATCAGTTTATCACATACAGTGCTTCAAGTAAAACTTAAAGATTTCTTCTGTTTTTCAGTTCCATTTAAATTTAATTAAAATGTTTTAAAACATCCTGTGGATTTTAGGTCTGACTAATGTCAGACCTTCAGAATCAAGACATCCCTTCAGGCAACATTAAGTTGACAAATTGAGCTCAAAAAGTAAAAAACAGTCAAATATTAAAGAATACAATAATTGTGTCAACAGACACACACAAAAGTGGTTGTGTGTGTGTGTGTGTGTGTGTGTGTGTGTGTGTGTGTGTGTGTGTGTGTGTGTGTGTGAGATGAACAACGAATTGTGCAAAAGTACCAGAAAATCCTGAAGTATTCCCATCCATCAATTCATAATCTGAAGCTTAAGCACAGTGATCCAAATCACACCATCAAGAATGTAGTTGAAATGTTTGAAATTTCTCTGAGTAGCTCTAAAAATGCAAGAAAAGCATTGGCCTAGTCAAAGTCTGAAGTTAAATCTAATTCAAGTGCCATGGCCTTAGCTTAAACACTGTAGAGTCAAACTCAACAAATCAAAATGAGGTCTGATGAGGCTCGTTTTTCAGATAAAAAGCGACTTTTGAAAAGAACAGTTATTTTATTTGTTAGGTATTTAACATATGTTTCAATGAGCTTATTTTAAGTACTTTATTGTTGTCATGTGCAAAAAAACAAAATTGGTGTTATGATTGCAAATGTTATTTTTGCATTTTCTCCACATATTGCACGGAAATATCAATAGATATGAGTAAATTCAAAAACATGATCGAATACAGTAACTGTGTGCAGCTTAGTGACAAACACATATTAAAAGTCGGTGGCCAGTCGGTGATTATGGTGCTGAGGATGCTGTGCCATGCAGCTACTGTTACCTAAAAAACATAATAAATTGTTTTGTTTTTTTTATTCATAATATTTATTATTATCACAATAGTACCAAAAGTACATATTGACCACCCTAGAAACAACAACAAACAGGCATTACACTCCATCCATCCACTGGTCCTAACTCTGTTTAGCATAAGATAAGTTGCCATCCACACTCCAGCAGTCGCCTTCCAGGTAAATATTGTCTCTTTCTTTTCCAAAATCAGATAATATTTTTTATGAATGTTCTGTGTCGGGTTTTTTCTCAACTACGGTGGCTCAGCCTAAGTTTCAGAATGTTATCCATAAATGTTCTGACCAAGCGATTGAAAGTGGACAGAAAAATGAGGGAAAACAAAGCCAGTGTGTTCAGAAGCCTCAAGAAATACTGATCGCCACCACTTTATAAAACTACACACACAAACTGGACCAGAAATGAGGAAGTGTGTATCCCAACAGCAACTGGTCAGCCTCAGCCACCTGTTGGGCCAATCAGCTCCTTCAACTCAGCGGCGGTGATGTGTGTCAGCTGGCTGCGGGCTCCGCTGAGAGGAACTAAACTCCCTAATAGCCTTTAGAGAAACTTAATCAACGCTTAGCCGCAAGGTCAAAGTTCGAAAGCAAATCCAAATGCAACGAGGCACCGTCAGCCGCTGCCGTCGTACTACAACTCCACCGTCCTGCTGCCGCCTGCTCGGCTTCCCCAGGGAAAGCTGCTGAAATGCCTCACATTTTACACCAGCGAGCACCCAAGTATGTCGACTTGTGTGAGAACCGCAATCATAGGCCAAAAACACTGGATGTGATGTCATTGAGGAGGGAGTGTAAGCAAACAGGGTGGTGTTTTTAAAGCTGCGAGCGAAGACTGCAACGTGTAACCTTCGGTGCATGACATGCAAGCAAATGAACGCCCGCGTTTTTTTCCCTTTCTTTTTGTGTTTTTTTTTTTTTCAGGATCTCTCCACACAGCCTGTGGACATCCCGTCCCGTGCAGCACGCTCAAGGAGCCTTCCACCTCTTCACACACACATGCATACCAACACGCTTGTTGTGAGTCTTTACACAGCTCATTCCCTCACACACACTCATGTACACGCAGATACTCATTCTACACACATACGCTCTCCTCCTTTGGGGCTCGGAGTTTTACGGCCAAAACTCAAAGCCCGCGCACGCGCACACACACTCACACACACACACACACACACACACACACACACACACACCTTCCCCACATTTAGGAGCTGAGGGCACACTGGGGGAAGTCAAGCAGCAACGCAGCCCTACTTGCCTGTAGCTAGGAAACGCAGGGCAGCCAGCAGAAGCTGAGGTGATATTTTAACCTTCATTTCATTGTCAGTGGGCTTGAAGGCCGAGAAGTCCTGCTTCCTGTCCCGATGGGTGATTTTCTTCTTCGTCTTGTTGTCGGCTGAGGAGAAAAGATGAAAACACAACCTGAAGCCGTTCCTCCAGCAAGGAAAACATCACTGTGAGGCACGGACAGCGAGCTGGTTGTCCCAGGTCACAAGGTGCCTAAACTGGAGTTACCCAAAGCTCTTTGGCTTTTCTGGAACAGCAGCCGTGGCCGCTTTCTCAGAAAAGGAGACTTTTACTGGGCGACATTGTCACCACATTCTTACCACATTCCTGACATTACAGAAAGCCACATGTGTTAGGATTTAGTGTAACGCATTAGTAAAGGGTTGATATTCCACCAGTAATAGTTTTTTTTTTTTTTTTAAATCCATAGATTTTCAAATCATTATTTTCAAAGAAACATTGAAAGTAAATACGTTCCATGAAAGACCTCAACCCAAAACAATTACCTTGCGATTACCTTGGCAAACGCTTTGGAGCAAAAGTATATCCAAAAGTTTTAAAACTCAATTTCACACAAATAAGTAGCTGAATATGATGAGAAAATGGCTTTTACAACTAAGATTGTGGCTTAAGATGTGCATCAGTATCAAATGCCACAGAGAGCTGTTTTAACCCACGTGGAAATCTAATTATATGTAACGGTATGTCTCAATTTGTGAGCACTGGTCAATTCCCACACTTATACGTTGCTATTTTTGACTTAGTTAATGTCTGTTTTGTCCCTGTAAGCAAACTATTTCCACCCCATGCTGATTTCTTTTGGTAAGAAAATTATTTTGATGAGTCATAAATATTTTCATTATTAGTATGAATTTCTGGTGCTCTTTGAACCATACACTGTATGCCATAATGTTACACATATCTATATATAGAATAGATGTATATCTATTTTTGTAACTTGTCCAGGGACTACAGATGCATATTACTTTAGCTATTATCTGGTAAAGTGCCTCACATAGTGACATTTATGTAGGAGTTGTACAATGTCCCTTTTTATATAAAGTTTATTATTTTCACAACTCTAGGATATACACATGCATTTTTGAATTTGACTGATGCTTTTGACAGCAAGACTTAAATGAAACAACTACAATGTGTGTGTGCAACAGAAACTGCTGCACACGTTTACCTCCATTATAAAGATTTGAATAGTTTATCATTTTATGTCACATTTTACCAGATAAAAAAAAAGATCCAATACATTGAACTAGGCCACAAAAAGCAAGCCAGACCAAAGTAAAATAAGAAATTAAGGAAGGCAATCAAGAAAGTAACCAAAATTACAGATTGCTTATAATGTCGAGCTCAGTGAGTGATTTATTTATGTATTTACGTGTTATGATGGTTCAGCCAGTAAATGTTAGTGGGATTCTATATGTTTAATCAACATAAAACAGAGAAGACTGAAAATTATGAATCTTTTTTTAAAAAAATCTGTTTCAAATTAAAATCTGAGGATTTGTGATCGGCTCCTTTGTGCCCATAGTTTGTAGAACAATCTTTCGCTGCAATCAGTCACCAGTCTTTCTCAGCTTCTCACACAGGAGGTTGAACTTTTGGCTCTTTTGTTTTTTTTTTTGTGGAACCCAGCAACGGGTCAGTGGGAGTTCATTTCTAATTTCTAAACATCAGTTTTAAGCCTTGACCCAAAATCTCCATTGAGTTTAGGTTTGGACTCAGACTGGATCATTCCAACACATAAGTATCCAGTCCATGTAATCGTAGCTTTTCTGTCTGCTGTGTTCCTGATGCTGTTGGTTCATAACCAGAGCTCTTTGTGTCTTTCCCAAAACAGCTGGATTTACACTGAGATTACACGACACACAGCTGGACTCAAATTTTTAACTCGATGACTTTTGAATGGTGTTGGTTGCACTGAATTTTATTGAGCCTTATCAGAGTAAATGGGGATCAAAAACCACATTTGCACACTCTCAATAGGCCTGTCACGATAACGAATTTTGCTGGACGATAAATTGCCCCAGGAGTTATTGCAATAAACGACAATTTTCAATTAAGATAATGGTAATGGCACAATAACGCAATACACATTCTCAAAGATCAATGCATTTTCAATTCTAATGAACATTTAAGTCTGGAACTGTCAGACATTTTTAAAACCTCCCCAATAAATGAACAAAACATCAGAAACAACTAATAAGTTGAATAATGAAGTCTCTATAAACAAAACTGTCTTTTTTAAAAAAAGGGCAAGTTGAGCCCAAAGCACCAGACTGAAGACTTCTGTCATCCGGTTTTTAGTAGAAAGACAGAAAAAAGTAAAACAGAAATGGAACTTATTGTGCTTGTTTTAATTCATCATGTGATCGATTGGCTTATTGCTCGCCGCAACAGGCCTCACTATTAATCTTTACTATTGATTTTTTGAAACAGTTCATAACTTTGCGCCAGCCTGTGTCGGTATATGAAATGAAACACTGGTTGAAACGTGACGAAAGGCGACAAACCTTTTGGTACAACGACACCATCTCATTTGACACATCTCTACATTCAAACACTGAACTATTTGTGAGCTTAGAGAGGGAGACCTACTGTATAAGTCAGTCTCATCCAGGATCTCTGACTTGATTATTTCTTCAATAACGTCCTCCAGGGTGACAATTCCCAGAACCTCATAGAAGGGGTCTCCCTCGCCTTCATTGTTCACCCTCTGAACTATGGCCAGGTGGGATGTTCCTAGCAAAATATACACACACAGGTTGTCAAGTTAGGGTTATATAGTAATAAAACAAAGCAGATGTAGTTCAAGCATCAGGTTACTGGGATAAAAACCGGTTGACACAAAAAACGCTTCTGGGTTTTTATTACCAAACAAAACAAAAACAAAAAAACAATCTCATGACAATCATGGTTGCATGGCCAGTTCTGTCAGGTATCACAAATGTAAGGCATAGATAAATATTAAAAACTTCAGGCAAAAAAAGAGACAGGATCCGACATCTCGTCACGTCACGTCTGTGTTCCCAGGGCCCTCCCGCTCTCCGCTACCGTCTGAAACACCGAACTGCAGCGGAGAATAGCTGTCAGGCAAAACACTAAACAAATTCTTTTCTTTTTTTTTTTTCTCAGCTTGCGATCATTTAAAAGGAATTTTCCAGAGGCCCGGGCTAATATTAGCCCCCGCAAAATGAAGTTTCCATTCCACCCCGGTGATATTCTCACTGAGCTCCAGGAACAGACCCGGCGAGGGAGTGCTGGGGTGTGTGTGGGGGCGGAGGGGTCCTCTGTGTGAGCAGACTTGTCAAGGACCAGCCTGCCGGTTCACGTGCACCTGGTTGTGCAACAAAAGATGGACGCTTGCGTGGAGAAATGCAGCGACGTCGATGCTGCTTCAGCTGGCCGGCGCTCTGACCGCAGTGGCGCAGGATGGAGAGACCCTAATGCTGATTACTTAAGAGTTTTTATCGCACTGCGGCCCTCCGCCTCCCCACAACACGACCGGGAGACATCCCACCGGGGCCCACCGGGCCTGAAAGGGAGAATGCTGCAGGTGATAAATAGATGGAAGACATGTTTTCAGATTGATTCCTGAAGACATTAATTAATGTAATTACAAAGAGAGGAAGCACGGCCTCCACGTACGCCGTCTTCGTTAAGAGCGGTGAGCTGTAAAACACACGTCACTTCCTGAAGGGCTGGCGTGGACATGTCCCCACCAACTCTGGCCCAATGTTTCCTGCTTCTTTCTGTTTTTGTTTATGTGCCCGCACCCATGTGCGGACAGTAACTCGGCAGCGGCTGCGTTCAACGCGTCAGCTGCAAGTCCAGTGACGTGGCGGATTGGGACGTCACGTGACTCACTGCGCCGTTGCCTTGCATTGAGTCGGTGGCCGGGAAAACGACACAAGCGAGTTAAGAATCCGAAGTAGGAACGCAACGTTTTTATATTAATTGAAAACAAGGTCCAAGGGAATCACTTCACAGGTCAGTAAAAAGTGTTAAGTTAAATATATATATATATATATATATATGTATATATTTTTTATATAAATATAAGGAAGTGGAGCGTACGTTAGCTATGCTAGCTTAACTTTTATCATCGCGTACCCTTGCTGTGCAGTTCGGAGTATTTCGGCTTGATTAACACAAAACACACACTTTTTCTGGCGGATAACCAGGAGTGCATGTGTTTTAAGTGAGCTGGTCAACCACGGCGAGTGTTCAGGCGGTCACTTTGGTGTTTTTACCTACTTTTTCGTGAATTTGTTTTGTGTTAATTCCCGATGCTATGCTACGCTCTCGCGGGGCTGTCATTGGTTTCCATGACAACGCGTCTACATGTGACGTCAGGCTGACAGGCTGGGAAACGTAATACAATCGCACCTTTTTTTTCTACATTTTTTCCCATTTTTTTAACAAATATTTGTGGTAATAAATTAAACTGAAACTATTGAGGACATACCTGTATCTGTGAGCAAAGTGATATTTTTGTAAACAGTAACATTTGTAATATGCGCTTAATATGTAATTTTTGGAAGTGAACAAAAAGAAATAAATGATAGATGTCAGTTAAATATTGAAACACAAGATACATTTTTTCTTTTTAAAATCATTCTGTTAATTATTTGGCCATTTATATAGTCCAGCTTTTATTTATAATTGTGTCAGTGTCTGTCCTCTATTTAGTTTAACACAGAAACTTGGGCTTAACAAAATATATGTTCAATAACTGAAAACTAAAAGTACCTTTAACCTGACAAACGAGTCTCATTGAAATGAATATTCTAATATATGATGATTGAATATAAGTTAATACTCAAGACAACACTGTCCAGCTTAGCGATCTTGATTTTGAATGAACTCAACATTTAAAGGTGAAGATAAGAAACTTGAGATTGAACATAAATAGGCTGATGCGATTGCTTTATATATATATTTTTTTATTCGCTAAGAAATATACTCTAGTCTTTTTTGTAGATAAGCTTTAGAACCACATTTGATTATAGGCGTGAAGCACACTACACGCAATGTATATTAGCGTAGTTTATCATAGAAGATGCATTTGAGAGGGTAATGCTGCAGGTTTTAGTTCAAAGGTCAGGTAAATCACAAAAAATGCATAAAAAGTTCACAAATCATGCTGCAGAAAGATCACAGAAAACTACTTTTTTGCATTTTTACTTTAATGAATTTTGTGGCCAGCTGATAGTTTAAATTTGTCATTTTTGGCTGCCAGGGCAAACAATTTGGACATCACTGCTGCAGAAAGAGGAAAAAACTAATTCTGATGGGGTTGTTGTGTAATTTTATCCATTTTACACTCGTGACATTGCAGTAAAAATACCAAGAGTCAGGAGAATACTGGTAAATATGTTGACATGTGAGACGTTTTTTGGCTGTGCTAAGCTACGCTGAAACAAAATGGACAACCTCAAATGTTCCAGGTTGAGTCTGAGTTCAGAACAAAAAATATGCCAAACTGTTCCCTTGATAAAAGAGACCGTTCATCAGTATTAAAGTGAAACACGATCTTCCCACAAGTGACTTTGCATCTTTTCTGCTGAGTTTGCACCATCAGAACATTTGAGAACGTTTTTTAAATCTGTTAATTGGCACAATCTTAAGTCTGGCGCTTTGCCGGCTGCTGTAGTGATGTTTTGTATCTGCATTTTAAATTCTGCATAATATTCAACAGGGAACAGATGTCATATATACTAATAAATGAAAATGAAACAAAATACCCCTTCCCCACCTGCTGCTGCACACTGCTGGCCAGCTAGTAGAAAGAGGTCTGCTATGCTTTTCCTGCTCCTGCAAGAGACAAGAATTCATCTGTTGGGAAATATCTTTGTTTTATTATGTCCTCTTGCATTTCTCTTAAAATCCTACCAGTTTATTCAGTTATTTTTGCTGCTTGGTGGAGCATTTTGAATCACTGTGAATGGAGCAATTGCAATTGAGATTGTTGATGTGGTTTATTTACATACACTTTAAGTTGTGAGCACATTAGATTTGACTCTTTTTTGAAAAGTCACTAAAGGGTTTGGAAAAGTTGATAAGTATAGCGAACTTACTGGCATAAAGCTTACACCAAATCTCCATAACAAGTTAAGTAATCCACTCTAAAAATGTTATAGGCACTAATATCAGCATCGACTGATATTAGTCATTTCTTAGCCTGTCAGTATCAGACCAATAAATAAAACTGGGTTGATGTGAACAACCAATATTTACTTCCATCTTGTTGATATTTGTTTCTGGAGGGACAGGGGAGGAGATTGGTTAATCGGTATTTGTTTGGTTATGTGCCAGTGATAGTGATGCAGCACAGGATTGTGGGAAGTTGTAACTAAACCGGAAAAGTAACAGTGAAGTTGACTGCGTGGTCATATCTTTCATTTTGATGAAGGGGCAGTGAATGTAACATGTACAATAGCAATAGGTATAGGTTATCGGACATATCAGCAATATTTATTTTCTTATCGGCGCATCCCTAAATGAAATCAAAACAGATAATCCATGTAGTAGGTTTTGCTTCATAACTTAAAATGACTTTGGGGTAACAAATAAAGAAAAGGAGATGACATGTAGCAGAAAAAGCCAATAAAATAAAATTTAAAAAAAGGCTAAAATGTGAGTTTGTTGCCTTCTATCAGGTTGCTGAAAATAAAGTTGTTAGAATGACCCAGTAAAACTAATTTTAATTGGAAATCTCTGGACAAAATTAAGATCAGAGCTGACAAGAAGATTCCAGAAACTTGTAATCTAAATTAATCTACTCAGTGTATATAATAAGTGGTTTGACTTGTTTGAATATATAACATGGGTTTTCACAGACAACTAAGATGAACTTATACTCTTGAGTAGTTGTAGAATAGACAAATACTCAAGAGTTAAATATTGCAACGCTAAAGTGTAAACTCTGAGACGTATTTTTCAATGAAGCGTTTACTTTATCTATGATCAATAAATCCTTTCTATCCAGGCATCCAAACCTATTATTACATTAAAAAATGTATGGTTTCAATCTATAGAAAAACAAATGAGTTGAACTCATCAGAAACACAGCAGGCTTCACCAACAAAACCTGGCAACCTGTTGAGTACCAGTGGGAGAACATGACGCTTTCATCCAGCTTTATCAGAATCTGAAAACCTTGGCCTCATCTGGAACATAAGAGCTGACCTCTGACCTTTAGATAAGCCAGCTGATAAAGCATGGAATACCCAAGAAAACCTTTGCTCTTCAAGCAATCATGACAACACACATTCTTACATACACACTCACACACAGCCGACCTGTCTCTTTCCTCTTTCTTTCCCTACCAACTTTGAAGTGCTTAATTGGAACCACCAAAGGTCATCACTTTAAAATAAGAATAACACAGACAGCATCAAAAATGAAAAGAAAGACAGTCTGTGAAAATACCACAGAAAAAGCATGTTTATGCAAAGATTAACTGTTTATTTTAGAGTCTGTCCCACGAGCTGCGATGTAAAGGGAAAGAAATTTCTCCATGGAACAAAGGGCAAAGGAAAAATTATACACAGAATGTTTTCCCAATACTAGTCTACATGCTGGAAGTCACAGAACTCCATATTTATCCAGGGATATGTCGGAGTGAATAGCTTGCACCATACCAAGTCTCCATGAAAGGCAGTGTGCCTTGATTCTTGCCCACAAATCTCTGCAGCAGATCCGGTATATTCAGAATTTGTATTTATGGCCACATATGTTCTCTACTACTAGCCCCTTTATGAGGTACATGCAATAGATACTACAGTAAGTCAATGCTATCAAAGGGGATTTAATAGACTTTGAATGTGACACGGTTGTTGCTGTCAGACGGGCTGGTTTGACTGTTTCAGAAACTGATGCTCTTCTGGGATGCACATCTCCAGTATTAGAGGACTTATATCTCAACAAAATCTAGAGAAACTCATCCATGCGTTTATCTGTAGTCGCATTGATTACTGCAACAGCGTCTTCACAGGTCTGTCCAACCAATCAATCAAACAGCTGCAGTTGATCCCAAACACTGCTGCTCACGTTCTCTCCAAAACTAAGAAGATGGAACACATTACTTCAATTAAAGTCCCTACACTGGCTCCCTCTAGCTCAAAGAGTAGATTTTAAAATACTCTTGTTAGCTTATAAATCACTGAACAGCTCAGCATCACAGTACATTAAAGACCTGCTGTTGTTGTATCAACCGTCCAGACCTCTCAGGTCTTCTGGTTCTGTTCTGCTCTGCATCCCTAGAACAAGAACCATACGAGGAGAAGCAGCATTCAGCTTCAATGCAACACAAATCTGGAACAAACTTCCAGAAAACTGCAAAACAACTGAAACACTGACTTTCTTAAAAATCTCGACCAAAAACCCATCTGTTTAGAGTTGTATTTGAAAACAAAATCAATTACATATTCCATCATGGCATTTGACTTAATGCCATGTTTTGATTGTTGAGTCTATGTTGCATGGCTTTGTGTGTTGTGTTTGTTAGGATGTAAAGCACTATACAAATGAAATTTGATTGATTGATTGCACCCAACCATCTCATAAAATATTTCAAAAAACAGAAAATATTCAGGGTGAGGCAGATACGGAAACAAAGAGACCTTGTTAACTCACTGAACCATGTTACAGACAACACATGCAGAATGACCCGTATGAGCACACAGAGCCTGAAAGCCGCTCCTCCTGTCAACTAAGAGCAGTGAACCAAGGCTACAAACTCATCAAAGTTTGACAATGACAGACTAGAAAAATGTTCGCCGGTCAATTTAAACTGCAACATTCAGACGGTAGAGTCATAATTTAGAGCAAACAACATCAAAACACAGATCTATCCTGTGCTGTATCAGTGGTTCGGGCTGCTGCTGGTGGTGATGGTGCAAAGGAAAATTTATCTCAGCGCATAACAGTTACAAAAAACATTATTACAATTAAAAATTACTTGACATATTTTGATGGATGGAAAC